ACGATCATAGACAACACAGAGGGATCCTCCCTTGTTTTACTAAAATGTTGTCCAAAAGGTAGCATTAAGCAAGAAAGGATTTGTTCTTCAAGAAAAGTTCAATAGCTGGGGGCACGGATGCCAGAAAATTTAAAGTGGGAGAAGATATGACACCATAAGTTGTTCATATATGGAAGAGCCCAGGACTTAAAATAAGTGGGAAGAAGTTGGACCTTCTTAATATAACCTTCATTGCTTTGCCCTCCCTGCTACCAGCTATTGCTTCACAACAGCCTAAATGTGCACACTAATCAGTGTCTTGATAAGGAATGCAACACCACTACCACAAAGACTGCTGGATGGCACCCACCCTTAATAGAACTGCTACCTAGTTATAGTCTCAATCTCATCTTTAAATATACATAATTTCATCAGTTAGGAAGTGCATATTCAAGAGATTTAAGCCACAACATCAAAACAAGATGGTCTTGAAAGAACAAAAATTTGGTTTGTCAATTATATTCAACTACAAAGATTTGCAACACTCAAGCCCACTGTTTTGAAGTTTCAGGAACAGTTCACAGAAGTCTACTGCAATCCCCACATCAATAAGCTTCATGGCTAAAATAACTTGATGGATTTTACAGTGGTTATCTTCAAGAACAACAAGCAAAACTTTTTTCTTCCCCTACTCTAAACAGGGTTTAATTCTTCATGCTTCTTATCTGTCTCTGTGTATACTTGACTATTTCCTCTGTCTTAGATTTCTAATATATTCATGATATACATATATTGACTGTCTGTGTTCAAGAAGCATTTGGACAATGCTCTGAGATGGATGGTTTAGGTTTTTTACTGCCCTGTGTGGAGTCAGAAGGTAGACTCAATAACCCTTGTGGGTCCCTTCCAACTCAAGGGGTTTCAATGATTTATGTGGTAAGAATATATACACAATATTGTGTAGCATTAACCTTGGAAGAGTTCAAATTTCAAAGTATCTCATAATTATTGAATTGATAAGTTCTTACAATTAAGTTTTTTCTCATTTGTAATTATGTTCAGGATAATCAGGAAATTCATAAATGAAATAAGAGCCAGTGTTTCAAAATGTCAAGTACTTTATCTTGCATAAAACTGACAGGAAATGTGGACTAACCTTTTTCAAATTTTCCCTCATACTTTTAACTGTGTGAATTTGTTCTTATACTTTTTCCATGTAATAAAATCAAACACTACCAACCACTCAGTGGACTCAAGAAATAAAACTATATATTACTATTTTCCCTTTATTAATATGCATGCATCTGATTTTATGAGCATCTGTCTCAAAACACACTGTTAATCCAAGACCTACTTTACTCTATGATCCAATATTAGAGCTATTATTCTAGACCACACCACCAGGCAGTAGGGTAACAAAGATGACAGCACATTAGCTATCAAATTACGGAGCGTTTCCTGTTATCCTACAGAAAGATAAAAATAAAGGCACCCATCCACCCACACTGCCGTCAGTAGATCCTTCCTTTGTCATTATCTGCAGAATAAGGATAGCTACTGTCCTATATTCACAGGATAGCTTTCACACAATCTAGGGTAAGATTGCTTTTAGCAACCATCATGCTGTCCATGAATAAGTCACTGAACTTTCCTCCTGAAGCACAGTTACTCAGTTATAATTACACAGTAAACCATCGAATCCATCCCACACCAGAGAACAGCAACAAGCCTAAACTGTGAAAACATGTAACATCTGCTACGGTTTGCAAAAATCATATGGTAGGAGGAGAAAAAAAATGCTAGTTTGAGAATTAGTCAGTCAAAAAGTTCATTTAAATATGGGTTGGGGACAAATATATGCCTGATGAATATGACGAATTTCAACTACATGCATAATAAAATTATGAAGTCAATTATGTGACATTTCACTCGAAACTGCAGAATGAGTTTAATAAATACTACTTCCTCTGAGAAACGGGCTACCAAAATACATATAGAAATTATTTTGAAATGAGAGTTTAAAAAAACCCAACCAACCAAACAAAAAGCAGGTAGTGCCTCTGTCCCTCCATTTAAATCTGGTGCACTTCACAAAACAGCCCTGTCTGGAGCTGTGGGGTTATGAATACAGCACAGCTCTGATTCCTGACTAAACAAAAGGTAGCTTCAGAAAAGCAGAATCAGTTTTAAAAAAAAAAAAAAAAAGCTATTTCTTCATACAAGCTTACAAACCACAAATACACCTAGTGAAATAAAATAAAATTGGATTCAGAAAGCCTAGAAAATAGTATACTGACTTCATATGAAGTTGTAAAAGCTTTTAGATCTGCTTGTTTTCACATAAACGAAATAGAAAAGTTGGAAAGGGTTGACTAAATAGAGCAGGCAAATGCACAGAATGACTTGTCCAGTATTATCTGCTTTAGGAATTTATAGTCCTATAAAAAATTGTGATCAAAGACTTTAAGAAACATGCAACTTCAACAGCAGTTGATGGTCTCTGATAGAAGACAGAACGTGAAGTTTCACCTACACTAGGTTTCTTTTGCTGTTACATCGGAAACAGCCGACATTTTCTCAGACACCCTAATACAGACTAAGAAAAGAGTTAACAAAAAGGAGCTCTAGGTGTACTGCAGCTGATCTCTCTATACTGCTAAAGGGCTGTTATGATATGCACCACCTTTCTAACAGGTCAGCTGGAGCCTGTTACAAAACACTGTAATAAAGTCCCATTGACATGATTTCTCTGTACCTGCACAAACTCCACTTTCCTCCTCCAACTCCACCAGATAACTGTATCTGTAAATCAAATGAGGAAACTGGAAAAGTTCTATAATCATATACCTACTACTGATAGACTAAATGCAAACACAAAGAACAAGAATTATTCTTTCAAAAAGAATATAAAAGGAATTTGTTGAGACCTGTACCCTAGATACGGATTTGAAGAGACAGAATAATCAATACACTGGAAACTATTAACTCAGCACACAAAAAAAAGAGGTATGAGGGCATCTCCTGACTTTCAAATTATTTGTACTTCCGAAGCAGTTAGATCACTAAAGAAAACCTCAGGCATTAAATATCATACAAATAATACCAATCCATAACCCAGCAAACAAAACCAGAACTATCTGAGACTTCAGCTGATTTCTGACAGAAAAAGAAGTAATCTGTGTTTGTGCAAATGATTCTTTTTTCAAGATATATCAGAGCTGACAGAGATCAGCTGAGAAGTGTTTGCACTGCAGCAACTGCTGCTATCTAACTGTCAGCCAGGCAACTAACAATGTTTTCTATAACAAGAGATTAAGACCAACTCAGAGGAACTTTCCTCAGAGACTACAGCAGATGTTTATTTTCTGTTTTTAGCACTGTATGTGCCAAAAATATTTTGAGATTAATTGGTTCTAGCAGTTGCATACAAAAAAGGATACACTTAAACATCAACTCTGTCGTCTTAAAATATATGAAGGAAGTACATGGCATGGGCTGCACATCAACCACCACCACACAACTGGTTCTTCAGGAGTCGTACCAAGGACCTATGAATCTTCTACAAACACAAAGAGGTCCACTTTCAAACTGCCAAAAGCAACTGAAGTAATGCAGCTTAAAGAATATTTTCACATAGAATCAACCCGTACTACGAACAGACCTTTTCCAACACTGAAGGATTTTCTGGTCCCCCTAGTCTAGGAAATAGTCTTGTTACTGGCCCCTTGAACTGGCAATTTTTAGAACTGAGTGGTAAAGTCGAAACCAGATGTCTTGCAATGTTCTGGAAGTTTTATGTAGTTTAGGGAAAAAGGGAGCAACAATTTGCAGTGCTATGGACACCACATTTTTGACTGGAGTTTAAAAACTTTGCTGCTGCCAATATAAAGAGTTTTGATCTACTTGCATTTGTAGTCTGGACCAAGTGTTTATACTGTGAATGAACCTAAGGACCCTACAGCAGTACTGTCACTTCAACAAGCCTTCAAAGATGACAAAGTACAGGGGAGTAACAAACAAAATTAGCTCTTGTACTAGAGCATCGAAAACACACTGACTTTTTCTAGGTCATTTTCTTACAGTATAGCTAGTAATTCTCAAAACCCACAGAAAGAAAGTAACACTGGCAACATCACAAGAAGCAGTTTTCTCCATCTCAAGGCTACAAAGAGCTTACAGAGACTTTCTACCTGTGGTTCATTGTATACTTTATTTTTTGTTCCCCGTTAGGAAAAGAGAAACTGTTTGGGCCAGGCTGTATCAGAAGCACAGAAGGACTTCAAACTCCAGAAGTGAATTTTTAATCAAGACCATTATTGTTACAATTAGCTCCTCAGTTGTAACGTTTGCTGCAAGAGCCTATCAATCCATTCAGGGCAGCCTGAGCTGGCCTGACTGCACATTTATTTTCCTCCAGTATCACAGTCCTCACAATCAGGATGAATCCTCTCACACACATTGCAAGCATCCATTCACATTCAGTGAAAGATTAGCATAATATTAGGGCCATCTGAAGTAGAGATGAACAGCACTGAATGTTTTATTGTGCAGCCATTTGGTTATGCACAAGAGGGAACAACCCAGCCAAGACATCTGGCATAAATTACCATCTTCCCCCCACCCCAATTTTAAGAACTCTGGTCAGCACCTGCACACCAACACAGAAGTCGCAATGCGCTTCCAGGGCCTACTCTTAAGGAAAGCCAGTCTGGCAAGGCTGAAGAACCAAAATACCAATCTGCTTTGGCACAAAATTAAGCGGGCACAGAATACTCCACCTTCCTTATAAAGCTCAATATTACAAGGCTAAACATCCAGATGCATTGTTTTTTATTAAAAATTGAAAGGGCCTATTCCTCCCTCCTTCAAAACAATATTCCTCCCTCCTTTCATAAGCCTAGTATGACAGTCAAGAGATACCTCTTTACCACTTGTAGCTGGTTACTCCCTTTTCATGTCCTGGCTCAGAGAAGCTGAAAGCACGAAATAAGTCATATTCATGGCTGTCTTGATTCACCTACCTGATATAGGGATCCCTCCCAGACCTGTGCTGTGTTGTGGTGGGAGATTCAAGTCCAAGAAATTACTATTTGAGGTGGGATTTGCTGTGTGGTTCAAGTGCATGATGCTATTGCGTGGGAAGGCCATCCAAGGATAGCGAGCTGCTTGGCCTGGAAAACTGAAGGAGTTGTAAACTGCTCGATGCTGTTGAAACTGTGGGAACCTCTGTGGCATGACTGGAAAGGTGCTACTGAGAGAGTTGGCATTTGTGGGTGCAGCAGGATGCAGGAATCCAGAACCTGGCCCTTTGGCAGCTGTAGTGTGTGGGGTAGGGTTCTGAAGAGAGGTGGGTGAGAGGGAAGGTTGGTCTTGGACTGACAGTTCCTTCTCAATCAGGTCTGCTAAGGCTTTGCGGGTGATGTCAAAGGGGTCAAACCCTAAGTCGTCCTCTTGCTGTTTGGAGGAACCAAACCCAAAAGCCGCTTGCCAGTCTGTGGAGGAGGATACTGGTATAGTCTCTGTTGGAGAGGAGAGGAATAGCATTTAGAACAAGAATTAGTAAGTATTTATCCATACAAAAATTTCAGCTTCAGTGTATCTGAATCTATGTTGCTTAGCTATCTTTCGTATACTACTTCTTTATACATTCCCCAAAGACACATTATTCATCACCTTAGAATGCCATTTGCAGATCAAACTATCACAGATTTCTGCTTAAAGTGGAAGAACTTGCAAATCGTATTTTTTACTGCAGAATTGCTCTGTTCCTGAACTACAGAAAAGCCTTGTCAAATAAATATTTTCAGTAATAGCTCCAAGTAGAAAGAAACCAATGAACTCTTTCTTAGAAGCTTCATTACACTCATATTACTTGATGGAAGTGTGACCAAGCAGAGTTTAAGTAAGGTTGCTACTCAGTTCAGTATTTTGCTTTCAGTATTAATGCTCTGCTTCAGCTCTGCTGTGCAAGAAAGGTGGGAGGAGATGCTCCCTCTCAAAATGGAAATTTCTGTGCAGTGGTTAAAAAAAAAAAAACAACAAACAACAAAAAACAAACCCTCCCTCGCTGTCTGCCATCATGAAGCCAAATTCTTGAGCAGACACTTTCATAAAACAAAAGGAGATAAGGAACTGCATTACAAGATATTGTTAAAATATTTTGAGGCAGCATTGCTAGGAAAAAAGGGTTATCAGAATTTCCCTGCATTTTCAACTAGTACTTCATTTCATTTCATTTCAAAATACTGTTTATATTTCTTATACAGGTTCAGTGAATGCTGAGTCTAGTTTCACAGTATTTTTCCTCGAAATTGTGGCAATGCAAGCTGATGAGCACAAGGTAGTATTGCTCACAACATCAACTCCCTCTGCTGGTAGGGAACCTGGTCTACTGCTTTAAGAAGAAAATCTTGGAAAAGCAATCCAGCTCTATTTTCACTCTACAATCTATGGCAACAGATAAAAAGAGTTGCTAGACAAACTTGTCCTTTGTATTCTTATTTAAATAGCAGCCATACATTTTAGATTAATTATGAAACAAACAAGATCTCTACCACCTGGAAATTGTGTCGCACTGTTACTTAATCCGCACAAAAATGGTGCGTATGGCACCTTAGCAGCAGGTAATTTCCCTGGTAATAAATACTGCTTACAAAACCAGGATTATGACATCCAGATGTCAGATCATCATCAAAAGACAACTAATCACTAAGTAAACCTACTGTGTCCTAAAGTATCATTTACACTTTATTTATTGCTGATATTGTTTAATTTAATTTTCTAACAGCTCCCTCAGATTTGTAATTTGTGAGCTCTTAAATACTGTTAACCATTCCCAAGACTATATAAATCACCTAAAAAGATGTTTCATTCATACAAAGTGGTATTTTACAGGAAAGTACCTGGAAAATATAAGTATCTTTCAGTGGATGCAATTAACCATATTTTTATATTTTCTGAATGTATATAATACCACTTCAGAAAGAAAGATTAGGCACCTTTAGATAACTATGCAGGATACTAAAGAAAACTGAATTCCACAGCTTCTGATGTTAGAATTACAGATTATAACAGTATTACACCAACATATACTGGCACCATGTGTTTTCCCCCACTCTAAATAAAAACCTGTGACATTTAATATTAAGCATACATGTCACATCCTACTACTTAGACAGGCACGTTGCTAAGAAAAAACAAAATAAGCACTCTGATAATTTAGCTATGCAGTTGGAAAATTCTGTAAAGTTTCTTTTAGAGGAAAACCTTACATCAGTGCAATTCATTTGTAGTTCAGTGACAAATTTTAATCATTCATGAAGGAGCAAAAAGCAGTATGGAAAATGTCCTAGAGTTTTTGGTTCTACACAGTTTTAGTAATCAGTTGCAAAAGCAAGCAACACCCAGCCATGTAACCTGTTTACATACCTGATGTGAAGAGGCTCTGTGGTTCTGGTGCTGTGGGCCAGTCATTTGAAGTCTGTGGAGAGCTGGGGAATGGAGGAAGCCCACTAGGGATGGGGTTAGGGTGCCGAAAGTTGTCAGAGAAGAGCGACTGTGATTCTGTTACAGCCCCTTCAAAAGGGGACCGTGCACTGTGATTAGATGAACTGATGGGTATGACTGGATTGGGTTTTGTTAAACCAGGTGGTGGTGAAGGTGTGTCACTGTTTGTTATCTACAGGCAAGAGAGGAAGAGATAGAATTAGGACATGAGTGTTTCTATATAAAATATTCTTCACTAATACAGTTGCAAAATTTCTTCAAAACCATCGACTGCAATTAGGTTAGTTAATATATAGCTCAGTACAAGGTCAAACATAAAAGTCAACCTAGCAGTAGCATTTTTCAGTTTTGTTTAAAATTATTATACACTTCAGAAAGTACTTGCTTTTCCAACTACATGTTGCACCATGCCTTCAAACTTAATTCTTACTTTCACAACATTTATCTTTACATCTTACCTGCTGGGAGCTGTCACCATTTCCTATACTGAGGGAATCTGAAGGTTTGTCGATAGGGCTGCAAAAATGGGAGGGGAAAAGAGACAATAAGACACTCAAGTATTTAACACGCAAATCAACATTTGCTTTTGTAGTTGTAGAAAAGCCTTGAAATAAAGACAAAGCAAAATTAATTAGGAGGAATTAAGAAGGAAAAAAGTTCATTTATTATTTATGATTTTTTATTTTTATTTTTTAAATCATAAGCATTCCAATCATTTGCCATATACTGTAACACTTATTCCCACCACTCTCCATTCTGTTTGTTGACTGCCCTGTTAAGGAACAAAAGGAAAGTTTCAAGCATGTTCATAGTAACCCTATGTCATTCAAAAAACCAGGACTCTTGTACTATGGCAGTATTCCGTAGTAGTCAGTTCCATCTATGCTATTACTGAAGAGAAACTTGGGAACAGATTTGTTTTCCAAATACCCAAGTTGTCAATTCCCATACAAGTCCTAAATAAATCTGGGGAGAGATAAAAGATTAAATTAACTATTTAGTCCTGGTGGCAAGGTAAGCTTCCCACCAGCCTTCACACTTTAACTAGTAGAAATTAATTCTAAGGTAAGAAAACTGAGTTTTGAGATGACATAAGGGGAAAAATACAGGGAAAGACATAGCACAAAAACTGCCAACAAACAAAGAGAATAAAAGATAAGATACAGCAGAAAATCACCTCAGAAAGCTATTCAGTGGGAACTAACATGACTTGGCTGAAATGGCACATCTCAGGATTCAAGATTCTGACAGGCATTTGTGAGTTGCCTTAATTATACTAAATACCACACTAATGAAAAAGTATTAGCTCAAGTTCAGATTACAATCTCTGCTTTACAACTTCAAGGTACTTTCATTTTTATCTACCCATAAGAGAAGATGCACAAGTATCAGGCTGCACAGCCCAAAACACTGGTCCTACAAACAAGGACCAGAAGTAAGAACATGAATTGCAGTTCCATTAAGAGGCCAGAATGTGATGAAAGTCAAATTACATGCATAATGTGTTAGCACAAGACAAATATATATATATATATAATAATTTTAACTTGGTGCAGACTTCAGATTCTAGCTACACCTCATTTTCAAAAATCCCTTGCTACTGCAAAGTTTAAATATCATCCAGAGCCACGTATCAAGGTCAAAAATTCGTAAGATTGCTTCCCTCCATATTTGTTCTCCTCATCCCAGAATAACGAGAGTTGAAACCCAGTACAATTCTCAATTCTAAAGAAATAGTGTAAGAGTAATCCATCAATAAAAAAAAATGTGCAAAAAAACACTGATTAAGCTTGTATCGCAAAAAGATAACTGAAGCTGAAGTATTTATGACTATAAAAGAAAAATCAGAGGAATATACTTGCAAATGAGCATTACTCCAGCGAAGATTTACAAATACTTTCTACTCAGTGGCTGAATAGCATGAATAAAATTCTCCCATTTGGAACAAAATGCCTTGGGTTGTAATTTCTGAATACCTACAGCACAAAAGTTTGCTGTAGACTCTTCACTACACAGTAGTTCTGATTGTAGAGCTGATATTCCAGCCAAATTCTTTTCCCACATCTGCTGACAGAAAGTCACAATGCTGCAGTTTAAACACCTATGTGTAAGACAACTTTTAATGACAACGTTTAATTAAAGTGTTGAAAGTGTTTATTATAATACTTGAACCTACCTAATGAGTCTTTAATTGTAAGATAGGTTGCCAGCCCTCAGGAATGAACAAGATTAAAAGTTGGCTACAATATTTGTACCTACATTTAGTATATTCTTTTCAGGAAAGGTAAGAAGGAAGCTGCATGTTATTACTGAGATGCAACCACAGGATCTCTAATCACACCTCAATGGGACTGCTATTAAACCTACCAAGAAGGTATCGCTTTTAACAGCACTCACAATACTAATGCATTGATTCAATATTTATATAAAATTAAGATCAGCTACCTAGTCAGCAACATCACCACTTAAAATATTAGTGTTTACTTTGTTATTTTCCCATCCAACCTCTGAATGAGCCCAACCGATACTACCTAAGGGGGTCCATAAAAAACAAAACAGCATGACTACAGACTACCATCAGAACTGCAAGTGATGCTTATGATGGAAGAGGACACCAATTCTACTCAAGGAGAGCACCAAAAGACAAAAAGATGTTGGTTAGCAATGAGGAAGTTATTGCAAGCAGATGAATTACTTCCTCTGCACAAAGAAGCCTCAATTGAATCTGCTGCCGTGTTGTTCCTGTCACTGAGTGATAATCAGGGAACCCTTACCTCTGCAGTTGTGTTTCTGGAACACATCACTATAAAGAGATGACTGATATCCAGCCTTAACATGTAGCTTCCTTCTGTTGAAGCTTTTCCAAGTGACAAGCTTCTTGATGTACAGCAACCAGCGTGTTACTTTTGTGGAAGCTTCTGTATAGAAACTAAGAGCTCAGCTCTGGCTGGGACCACACAGCTATGTAAGATGTTGATCCCATTATTCTTTGGTTATTCTGTTCCCCTCAGCCCTTACCTGTACCATCACTTACTAACTTCACATTAGGGTTCTCCTCCACAATCTGCCAATCAGTCTTTTTGACATGGGCTAGGCTAAGTCCAGCTTTTTGTAACCTGATCAGGATTTGAATCCAGCTCTCCAACCAGAGAGAGAGACTGGAGAATCATTCCCTCCACACCAATCAGTGAGAGAGAAAGCGAGCTATCTGAAGTATAAAAGGCAGCACAATTACCCGAAATCTGAGTCTGCACCATCTGGAGTCATGTGTTCTGGGTCTGTGCCATTTTCTAATATAGGAGGCGTTTTCCTGTGTTCCATTGTTAAACCGTTGGCTGATTTACTTGAACTCTGTAATGATGGCCAGGCATCTTTGTTATTATTTAAGCTAAATATGATGCTACCCTAGAAAATAAAAAAAAAAAAAAAAAAAAAAAAAGTTCAAGTTATGAAGAAAGTGTTTTTAAAAAATGCACTGGGAAAATGAATCCTTGTGCCAGACAATCCATAAGAATAGATTTATCTGGATATTATTTCTCAGATTTTAAATGGTGTTGAATTAAAAAAAAAGAATTAGTGGGGTAGGGAGAGGAGAGGGAGAAAACTGGGGGAAATTCTGTTTTATTCACTGAATAGATAGCTGCTCTGCCAATGCTGAAGTCCAAACTTCTCCATTTGGGGAAGAGAATAAATAAATAAATCCAGCAACAGCTTCAAGTATCCAAACCTACACACACCTCATTTGAATTATTAGCTTTATCCCGTAAGTACTTTTAAGTCCTGTAAATTCCGACCCCCCAAATAAATGTTTTCTTTCCAGGCCCTATCAAGCCTGGTCCCAACAGACGAAGTTTGTGTTTTATGCCCACACAAAGGCCCATAACTTTACTAACAGACCATGAGACCATTCAGACCAACACACTGTTCATTCAAGTTACTTCTCCTTTCATTTCTAAAGCCATAAGTACTTCCCTTTTACAAAATTTAATTTGACCCCCCAAATAAATGTTTTCTTTCCAGGCCCTATCAAGCCTGGTCCCAACAGACGAAGTTTGTGTTTTATGCCCACACAAAGGCCCATAACTTTACTAACAGACCATGAGACCATTCAGACCAACACACTGTTCATTCAAGTTACTTCTCCTTTCATTTCTAAAGCCATAAGTACTTCCCTTTTACAAAATTTAATTTCAGAGTGCAGATCAGACCTGAAAGAAGTTCAAGAGAGGACTCAAAGCCCAGGTTTTGCTTAAATAAGTTACATTCTATACAAACTGAAGCAAGCTGAAATATCACCTATAACTGAATGAATTCAAAAACAGTCATCTGCTAACCTTGCAATTTTACCATAAAAGATTTGCCATTGTTCTCCAGTTCTTTTATATTTTCACCTTTTAATTTGCTTCAATTACGATGCTGCTTTTAGTGCCCAAGTTAAAAAAAAAATATTTATGTTCCTCCTTCATGAATATGTTCTTATTACATGGTCCAACATTTACTCTTCATCTCTAGGTCAATTTAGTAAGTTCACAGTCAGAATCTGGAAATTCTTATAGCTGCTTATAGCAACACAAGTGTTTCCTACTACTATTCAGATAAAATTGGTATTACTAGCTACTCTCAAATCTCAGTTAGTATTGTAAGATTTGCTATTCTGCCTCCATTTTTTCTCATATACCTATACAATATGTACACAGATGAGAGCCTTGACCCAACTTACATATCTCATCTCCGCTTTGTACACATTTGAAGTAAGTTAGAGATAGCAAGTTGATCAGATATCGAACATCAAGGAATGAAGACACATCATCATTAGTGCAGTGTCAGTCATTTAGTATTCTTACCCTTACAAAAATTAGCTTTAATCTAGATATAAGACCAATTAACAATCCATTAACAGATTTATTTTAAATATTAAAATTTATGTCTGCTGCAGTGCAAAGCCATCTCTATACAAAAAGTAACTTTAAAATGTCACAGTTAAAAGTTAGTTTTGCATCCGAGGTGAAAGGTAGAGAGAAAGAAACTGGTTTATGTTTTGGAGTGGGTTTTTGCGTATATGTGCATGTGTGCATGTGTTTAGTGGGGGTGTTTTGGTGAAGTTCAAAGCTGCAAGATGAGTACCCACATACACAAAGTGGCACTGGCAGATTTTAACATCTGCCTTCAGCAGCTAGAAAAAAGGTCTGCAAGTAGGATCTTTTCAATTAGAACACAATTGTGAAAAAGCATTCAGGCACAGTTTAAGAGTTTTCTACTACTGGATATTTATAATTAAACATCTATAACTTAGAACTCTACTTCTGTTCAATTCCAGAGTGAAACAGAAATCCTGCACTCCAGAAACCTAAGAACAACCACAAAACTGTCAGAGGCTCTGACAAACTGCCAGAAATATTAATATCATATCAATGAATAAGACAAAAATGAGAACCCAACTGGGTAGAAAGTTGCGATAACAACATTCACCAGCTCACAAGCTACATTTTGTACTGATGAGACAGGACACAAACCATTTCAAAATCCCAGCTGCAAGAAGAAATTAACTTTACAACCCAAAAGGTGCTGCATAGCCCTTAGCAAAGAAGAGAGTCTATGTTGTGATGATGCTGTTTAGCTGACAAGAGAAATCAACTCCAGACCACTTGTTGCCTTTAGAATAACATACCATTTTTTCCACAGGTGCCAAAATGTTAGCACCACAGACTGGCCAAGCTCCAATTCATAACTGCTTTCTGAAGGCTTAAGTTTGCTGCAGTTTCAGATAGAGCATTCTTTCCTCACTGGTATAATTTGTTTTGCTGGGATCAAATTAGGTTTCAAATTAAGATTAGTGCAGACTTTAAACATGAAAAATAAAAAAAAAAAATCAATACCCAAATGCAGGAAGTGCTGTATTTGCTTCACGCACTCAATCTACCTTCCAAGTCAGTGTTGAACCAGTACCCAAAAAATAAGAAGTGGCACAGTCCTCAAGAAAAGATATAACTGCAGGTCCAGACCACTCACAGTCAAAGAGCACATGACACTTCCTCCAGAAGTTTCCAGAAGAAAAGAATCCCAGTACACCAGCTGCGATACCAGTTCTCAGAATTATATTCTGCTTATTCAAGCTCCATTGGCAATATTTTAGATACAGTACCCACTTTCTTGCTTAAACTGTTGTGCAATGATGCTGCTAGTGGCAAATTATTGTCTAAAAAAATCAGTAGAGGATAAACTGGCACACAATACAAACTCTGATTACAAGGCCAAGGTGTGTACAAAGTGCAATTTAACTTTTACATTCCACTCTGTCCATCTTATTATGAAAATCCTCCAAAAATGAGTGGGGGAAATTCTTAACAGCTTTTCTTTCTTTATCCTAAATATGACATTTGAGTGGATAATTCACATAAGGACTGATGATCTTCGGTTTTCATTTATCTTTGTATGGCTATGCACTCACATGGACAGAAATCTTTTCATAACTTACTGAACAAACTACTTCAACAGAATATTATTTTAACAAGCACTAATAAGTGATATCTGCAATTACAACATAGTGAAAAAGATATCATTTAAGTTTACTAGATGAAAGCAAGAAGTCTTTTATTCACATCTTGGGAATTCTTACTCACACAAAAGAAACAGATTTTCCTTTCAATTTCCAAGGTCTTTACAACTAATGTGTGTATACCTACTACAAATCACGATGTAAAAAAAACAAACAAACAACAAAAAAAAACCAAACAAAAAACCACACAATAAAAAACACATATCAAGACTATAAGACATCTCAGTTGCAGGAGTACAGACTACATTCATTGTAACACCATATCAAGAAAGCTGACATCTGGTCTTTAATAAATACTATGTTTACACAAATACAAAATACAAAGTCTTCTTTCAGAA